AAATAATAACATGAAAACACTTGTTGAGAAACTACCAACAGGTAGCACTCTAAAAATGCACTTACAATAGGAGATCTCGAGACCATCTTCTTCTCAGACACCTTGGAGGGTTATGTGGGATCTGATTATAGGGGGGAGATGTTGATTAGAAACGAGAGGGTTCAGATGGTTCTGAAGATTTCGGATTATAAGGATTGGATACGAGAGGAATTCGATAGTTTAGTGGAGCCCCAAAGCTCAAGTCCAAATAGGCATTATTCTAGTGATATATATGAGTCTTTTGTAATTAAGTGAAAGTTTCGAGCGTTTATCTAGTAAGTGGTGGAGTAGTCAGAAACGTCGAGATGTTTCTTATCATTTTAGTCTTGAATGTTTATTCCAAGGGAGAAGCTTGTCCAGGTGGAGTCCTAGGTATCAGATTTGTTCTACAATGATAAGTGGAGTATTATTACAGGATACTGTAGGACAGGAAGTCATGGATTTACTATTTTTTAAATGAAAATTTGAAATAAAGTGTTTGGTTAAGGATTTAGATTGACTGAATATACGAATTAGAGTAAAATGTCAATAGATTGTTCTATGCTTATTCAGTAGTACCCATAATGTAAAATGATGACGATCTTAATAAATGTTTTTGAATCTTAATATCCTCTAAGATTTAATAAAAATAATACAAAAAATATTTAGTATCTTTAAGAAGTGGTTATTTATTACAAATATTAACTAGCGATTGCAGTGTTGGCATTAAAATAAGTGAATACTTATTGTTAGTAATCTACAAGCGAGCGAAATTCGATCGTAAATGTTTTACAGCTTAAGTTGATAGCGCTAAATTAACAACTATCTTTCGAAGGTATATTTGCAATCCGTTTGTCAGCTACTTAAATATCAATTAATATGTTTTGATATCTTCTAAGTAATGGGGTTGCAAATTGCTAACACTGTCATTTCTCACTAGTGGGGGTAATTGCTTGGCTAATTAAAGACCGCCTTAGATACTTTTTAATGAGCTTAATTAATTAAAATAGTTGAGGAAGTCCGTTTTTTTTTTCTACATCAATTAGGTTTATAAAACTTGGAATTTCCATTTTTATAAGATATAGAAATTCTTGATAAAAGCTCATGAAAGTCCCTAATGATTATGGAAATATCAAAAAATCATTTAAATATTATAAATATTTATAATATATAATAATTATATATACTTATATACTTGTGTATTTAAATTTGAGGAGAACAGTAAGGAAGAGGATTAACTCTATTTTAATTTTTTTTCTTGTCCATTTTTCAAAAGTTTATTTTAGGATAACAAAAAGAAATTACTAAAATGTCAATTTGCATTACAAAATAAAAAACTACAATGAAGATAAACCAGGAATTTATTCTCTCAATAGAATGCAATTCACCAGATTTTAAAATATTGTCACCTGATGAATTAAAAATGTTATAATATTTTCTGTTCCTCTATTGAATTGTATATTTTATAAACTTTTTTTTAGTCTGCTTAATTCTTACCAATTGAACTCATTTCTGCAATCAGTGTTTAACTCATTTGTTGCAAATCCTAACCGTTATCTCAAATTTTACAATATCACCCACTAGAAAATCTATTTGTGAATTTATCAATTTGATAATTTTACATTGTTACGGCATGCACCATATAATTTTCCAAATGATTGTGTGATGTTTTCGAAATCAGATACCAACATTATAAAATGAAACTTTAATTTTTTTTGTATTTGCCTTGCAGTTACATTCGTGTCTAATGTTTACATTTTAGTTATTTTCAATAGACATAGAAACTATAATTTTGAGATAGATTGGTAAAATGGTGCAAAAACAATATCGTTTGGTATATGGACTTACGAAAATTTCAATTTTCTTTATCAATGAACACTATTATTTTTTATGATGTGTTTACATTCCTGAATGATTTCACTCTTTTTTTTTTCAATATATATATATATATATATATATATATATATATATATATATATATATATATATATATATATATATATATATATAAACTTTTTTTTTCTCCCTTCAGCTAAACCTTCAACTTGTGAACCACTACCATTTTAATAAACATCGATAACTCAGAAATTCTAAATAAAAAGATTTAAAAGTATCTATAAGCATAAGCATAAGTATAAACAGGATCAAAATTTCCAAATTGAGCATTTTATTAATACTGTTTGTAAAAAAAAAAAATATCACCGAGCTATTTCAATTAGTAGACATCTCTTTTTATATCTTTTTATTTGTTTAATTCCAATTTAAAAATTTTTAAGTCGACTTAAAGTCGCTCTATATACCATTATTGTGTTTATATTTCTGTCTTCAACCCTCTGCCTGGTCATTAAAAAAAGTGAAAATAATTAACTTGATTTGAATTTGATTAAAATAGTAGTATAAACATAGAATATAATTAATAATATGCTTAGTTGATTTATAGATATTATTTTCTAATAATTTATTAAAAAACACTACGTTTTCATTAAAGACTGCCTTATATTATTCAATAAATAATAAGTTATTTATATATATAAGTAAATTATCATCTGATATAGCTTTTTAGATCAACTTCCATTATGAATATTTTGAATTTTCTAGCCTCTGCATGAAAAACATTATTTTTTTTAATATTCATATATAATTTTCAGTTATTTTAAAATTGTCTAGTGAATTTAAATTTGAGGCTCTACATTTAGGTTTTCATATTATTTTACGAGCTGTGTATCATTGTATCACAGGCGGCCATTTTGACCTCCAAAATTAGCCAAGTGTAAGGGAAATAGATATGGCTTCCAAGAGAAGTTGAAGCCTTCTTATATTCATTGATATTAAATACAAGAGATATAAAAATGTCGTAGTTAATAACTTTAAACATATTTTTCTTAGTATCGGTACTTTTTTTTTTCTAAAAATATTGACTTAATAATTATCAAGTTCATTATTAAATTATTAGATAATAAACCTCTTCAGAATTCTGGTAAATTTCCATAATTTGTAGAAAAAATATTTGTACCTTGATGATGAAATATGAAATATATTAATTGAACAAAAATAATTTGTGTCTATGTGTATGAGTAAAAAGGACCAAATATTCAATTATCAACTGAATTATATTTTTTAAAAACACATTTATGTAGACAGACAGTTTTTAGTATTGTTTTAAATGAATCTTATCCTATATTATTTCACAAAGGTAAGTCATATGTCATATTGTCGACACTATACTAAAGTCATTATATCTAATGAGAGATTTAGGTTCGAAGATTATCTTCTTCTTTAGGTGGGAAACATAAGGACATTCCCTAGAAAATACAAGGAAAAGATTAGGAAGGAAACTTTATTTGTTCATAACTTAAAAAGTGTACAATCTATGGTTGACAATTATTTGATAAACCATGATAATTTAAAAGTTTCTCGAGTTTCAAACAAAACCAAAAATTCATCGAAATCGGACCATTATTTAATTCCTCTATTTCATAATTAAATCTCCTTTTTCTATATTAAATTGCCATTTATTCACTGACCGCAGGGTGATCTTTCGGTCTGAAGCGCAAATGATAAAAAAACCAAAATGGTAAAATAAAACTATGTCTCATGAAAAAATTATCGAAAAAAGTATAATTGTTCGTGTAATTACATTTGATAGGATTTCAAGAGCCACTTAAACACAATTTCATTCAGGTATTTATTTTATTTATATTTTTTTTCCAAAGTTATTATCATCGTACATATAAAATAAAAAAACTTTCGGGCTGGAGCCTATTTGCTATGACCAACTCGTGTTGTGAAATTTAAAACAAGCTGCTCTGAAAGATAAATAAAAGGAATTAATCAGATTTCAGAATAAAAATAAATAAAACAAAAAATAATTTCTTCTTCTTCTCTTCTGACTGACACTATTTTCCTTATTTTTTTTAAAATAAGACTTTGGCTGTTACACACTAATAACGAAGTGAAGTGGTTGAGAGAGAAGCTCTGGGATCTCCTGGAGCCTTTCTTTTTCCTCCAAAAGGGCAGAGAGAAGAATGGTTCGGAGTTCCCCTGGCTGATTGTAAAGAGTGTATTTAAGTACGCCTATATCTTACATCTTTATCCTAATTGTTAAAATACATTTAGTTTTTTCAATTTTTCGCTTTATGCTATTTTAACTTTTTTGTTACCTTTATGTATTATATTGCTATTATACAATTATTTTATTTTTGTTTCATATAAATATGATATGAAAGTGCTCTCTGATCCCTATGATAAATGTCCTTAATTGAGACAGAATGTCTGATGCTTCTCAATAAGAGAGTTTCAAAACAAAAACAAAAAAAAATAATCACAATGTTTTATTTAAGATTTTTTTATTATTATTATATTTATTAAAAAATATAATAATAGAAAATATTACGATTTGTCACAAATAAGGACATTTATAATAGTGTTCCGAGAGCTTATTCACAACCTATTTACAATAAATAAATATAATACAGAAACTAATAATAATAAAAGTAAATGTATATAATCAAAAGAATTAAACTAATCAAAATAACAACTAAAACACATGTATACTATACAATATTTACATAATCCATTCACTCAGAACAACTCCGAGCCAAGCCTTTCTCCCCACCCGTGGAAGGAAAGGCAGGACTCTAGGAGATCCCAGCGCCTCAGACTCAGCCGCATTACTGGTATTAAGGATCAGTATAGGCTGAGGGGAGGCGCTGTTTTAGGGAATTCGGAAAGAAAAAAAATGTTACACAATGACTAAGTGATATTGAAAAGCATAAAATTTAAATGAGGAAATATTAAAAGTGGAATATATTGTTGATAAGCTAACAAATGTTCTACAGTTGGCATAATTTTGAAGTGTTTACTGCGTTACGAACAGTTGACTCTCTGGCTTGTCGCGACGGTAGTTATTTACCCTATATAACTACAAATGCATTTTAATAGTTACTTATAGCTCGGAATATTTTAATATCATATTTATGTAAATGAGCCCGGCGGGGTGTGGAAATGGACTAGAAATGTCTCAAGATGGAAATAAACACGCTCTGATTTACATTCAGGTTGCGGTTGCCCGAGGGAAGTGTTTTACTGTCCGGTAACGACTGCCTTATTGCAAGGAACTGAATCCAACTCTATTTACATCAAGTCATAGGTTACCGCTTGCGAAACGGACGGGAAATCGCTTCTTGTTCAATATCTGAGTACAAGAGGGAAAATCGGTGGGAAAACTTTTTTTCACGTGTGTGTTATGTCTCTACTTATTTTAACAGCGTACAGAACAAATGGAGAATGAAATATTTTAATCAGAGTTAAGTCGTTACTCGAATGAATGAATAATAAGTCACGAGTGAATAGCGCTTAGAATAAATGAGTAAGCAATGAAGTGTAAATTAATCATTAATCATGAAAGGTTCATGAGTTAATACTGTCGGGTTATCATACAGAATCATTCTTAATTTATCAGTCATGAATAATTTATTATAGAAGTTTCTTTTTCCTTTATTATTTCAGAAATAGGTATAATACAACAGAAAACTGGTAGCTTTCTCACAGAAATCATAAACTTTTCTTTTCAAATCTATTAATGGAAAATCAGTGAGGAGTAGTAACTGAAAATCAATTGAGATGATTAGTATTTCTTTCGCAAATAATGCTATATTGCAATTATTTTAAAAGAATTTAATATAATATTAAAGTGGTCATTTGAATTCTTTGCTATCATAAAATCTTTTTCATTATCTTGTTCACTCAAAAAATAAATGAACCTCTTGACCTAGTTCTTCACTAGGTTCCAAAGGTTTTGGAGTCAAGGGACGGTGGATCGAATCCGTACTGGACGAGTTGAAGTTTATTTCGTGGCGTACCCAAATAATGAATCTCGACCTTCCCATTCTGATTAAAATATAATTGGTAGTACATCTAGATCAACCCTCTCTCCTAACTCCGTATGCTAGAAATTTAATCCAAAAAAAAATATTGCTTATGATTGTTTTTATTCATTTATTTTATGATACTAATTTATTATTAATATTTTCTCAGGGGCTCCATCCACTGATAAAGTGTGAAAAAGGCGGAGTGGTCCAGCCGGGTTTCGAACTCCCCCGAAGAACACCTCCTCCACCTTACCCCCTCCAGCTGCGGCCGCCCGTAAAGTACAACAGGAGGAACAACCCAGAACTGGAGAAGCGGCGGATACACCACTGTACATTCCTCGGTAAGTTAGATGTAATCCTTCTTCTATAGAGTTTGAAAGAAAGTATGCACGAGTATATATAATAAAATTATTATTATCAAGCATGAATAAAACCATTGATGGAAACCTTCTTCATCCCTCTTGTTCTTTAGTCTTTCAGCGTCGAGCTCGGGTCTCGGTCCACTTTCTCCACTTAGTGTTGCCCAAATGCGAGATCAAAACAAGTCTTGGTCTCGGGCACTGTATTGGTCTTGCGCAAAAGTCTCGCAACAGTCTTGCAGTTACCTATTAGGTTTTTGCTATGAAAATATTACTGTAATTTTTAGTAGGAGAAATCTAACTAAGGCCGAACGAAAAATTAGAAGAGTTCAATACATAAGTGTATTGGTTATACCAATTGTTTTCATTTAATAACTAAAACTGTCAATTTTGTCTTAATTTTCATTTAAAAAACTATTTTTTTCTAACAATCTTGGTCTTGGTCTCGGACAGTTAAGCGGTTGATTTTGGGCAACACTATCCACACTCATTACTATCTACGCGAAATCCGTCCCTTCCTGAGGCACCTTATTTTACTATGAATCACTCATAGGAACCAACCAAGATAGTAACCAAGGAGGAATAGAAAGATATGAACCAACAATAGAAAATCTGTCTGCCTTTCTCGAAATTAAACATCTTTTAGAATAAAAGATTTAATTTTTTTATTTTAATTGTATTTTATATGTACGACTACCATATCAAAATAAACACGCACATTGGGGAGCGTGGGTCCCAGAAATTCTGGTTTTGAACATTCTGGGATGTCGGGTTTGAACATTCGGGGTCCCTGGGAAATGATTATTGACACTTCCACTCTGGTAAGAACAGGACGGACATAGCCGTCAGGAATTGACAAAAATGAAGATGAGCCTCATTTGCCGCACTATTACCCCGCCAGTTGCAGCACCATTTGGCAAAAAATGTATCCTTATTTTTAGACATTACAAAATTTAGTCTTGTGCCTCGTTGGAAGTTCCGAATCAGTCCACAGCCGGCCATTAATAAGTCTTTATTTATTTTTTTTTTTTACCTTCGTAAAATCCTTAATGTTTCTTATTATCTCACAAAATGAAATTATTCATAAAGACCTCAAAATTACCTTTGTTGAAGACCTGGGGCCCGAATTAGATATTCCTCTTTTAACTCCAAACTCTTTGGTCACCCCAACCCTCTAGTTCATTACCTTTCATCCAAAATGATTCGTTACAACCCTTCGAGGCTTTTGAAAAGGGACCTCCTAAATTAATCTAATTTTTTATACTCTATTAATAGGTAGTTTATGTACAAGTTTTTAGCATGCTTTATTTTATTTTAGAAGATTTACTTGCTGTATATATGTATACAGTTGTAAATATCAATAAATGAATTTTTTTTAAATTGTTATTTAAAAGAAATAAATCAAGCTTTTTTTTCTCTGGCATGAAAGAGCATTGTGGACTCTGCATGGGTTGTATATACAGGGTGTCCCGTAAGTAGAGGAGAATATTTAAAAGGCTGATAGTAGACATCAAGAGCTACAAAATTGCTCAATTTTGTTTTTAAGTGAGTCATGGTTTTTGTTGAATAGGAGGTGATAAATAAAAAATATTTGATTTAAGTAATTAACCATTGCTCCATAGTAAAATAGACAAAATTGCTTTCTTTAAATGATTAAAAATTTAAACGTTTCTGTTTCATGAAATAGAAAGCGGCAATACAATTGTAAAAAAAAAAAAAAGAAAGATACTAGCTACATATAAGAAATGGTGTTTATGTGCTTCTTGAAGTCCTATTAAATGTAATTACACAAACAATAATACTTTAAGAGATATTTTAAAAATATTTTTTACCATAAAACATGGTTACATTTTACCATTTGGGAGGGAGGGGCTTCAGTCCGAAAGTCCCATCCCCGTAGATCCGCCTGTATGTAGTTCGCAGTTCATACAATATACCATTTTAAAAAAAAAAATGTATTTTGTTCATAAACTCAATAAATGCAATCATAATTTCTTATCCCAAAAGAATTATTAAAAATTGATTCATGGCTATTTTTATATTATAACAACGAACAAAGTAAAAAAGAAAATGAATGCGCAATAATTCACGTTTGCACGTATAAGGCCGCTCGAGATGTGTGGCAAACGATAAAAAGCCCTGAAAGACATAGTTTTCCCTTATCTGCCAAGCTGACATTTACTGTAGCTTTTGCATCCTATGCAACGCTCTCTTATATCTCAACCCCGCCATTGTGGGGATAACCTCGTGCATTACACGAGCAACAATATGGAGAAAATGATATAAATAATTCTTATCACAAACTGATTTTCTATTCATGTCCGAAGCTTAATGGAAGCCAGTTCACAACCAAAGGAACTAAAGAGCTCTGATGGGAATACCTAAAATATTTTCCCAAAATAAAGTTGATTATATTTTATTATTGCTTACTATCGTTTGGATGGATACTTTTTTTTTTATCTTATCATTGAGGAGTCTAGTAAAATTCATCCAATAATAGTATATTTTATTTTAAATTATAACGTTTGAATTATTTATTTATATATATATATATATATATATATATATATATTGAAATAATATAAAAATTAAGCAAAATGGAGTAATAACAAGAAGATTCTCATCAAATTCAATAATTGGAAACAGGTTGATTAAATTATAACAAACCATAGAGAAAATAAAATTAATAATTATATATGTATATAATTACCTAATATTTATGAAAAAAATAATAGAAAGAGTTTATACTATAGTTAAAATTATGTGAAAATATAAATATATAAAATCAACCTAATTGTTGTAAAACTAAGAGTATATCTAATATTGTTTATTTAAAAATAATTTTATATGGAGGTGTGTGTTATATGTTTTTATTTTTTTTATATTAAAGTATCCGAAGAAAACAATTGATTATGTTAAATATTTGTAGACATTAACTGTGGGTGGAGGGTGGTAATCTCCATAAAGAGATACATTCCTTGAATTTTTTCAGCTAAACAGGAACAATTTTAAAAAATTAAAAACATTTATAATTCCTTAGTTTCTATAAATATAATATAAAAACAACGTTTTCAAAGTCTAAATAGTTATGTAAAATTGTCTATACAAAACATTATGTGTAAAATAAATTCATACGATATTAACAATCAGAGTATGACATATCCACAACTACGCCAGGATAAACTCTAAAATTATGAAAAACCAGATTTACCATGGCTGGGGTGTTAAAGACATCAAAACTCCATCTAAGACTTAAGAACCTGTCGTCGTGGCGTCTGTGATTCAGATCAAACTTCGACTAGAATCAAACCATATTAGACATTGAAAGGAATTAACAAAATATTGGTTTAACTGGAAAGAAAGATGTATGATACCTAATTTATAATTGAGCTGAAGATTAAATTCGAAGTCATGGTCTCAGTCAGTAAGTCGAATAATTTATGTCTTTAACTTTTCCGTGGAAACTTCATAAAACTTCATATAAACATGGAGGGCTGCACACGAGGAGTAAATGAATAATGCAATCTTCGGTTAAGTTGCTCCGTATTATTATCTCTAAATATAAATAAACAATTAAATAACTGGGATATTTAGGTCGTGGTATGCCTTTCCTATTTTATTAATCGATTTTAGTTTGAATATTTTACTCATTCGTGTAAATTAATTGTTATTAATTATTTTTTAAAAATATTTTTACTGTAAATTATTGGAGAGCGAGGTAACTACTCCTTCCAAAGTTTGTAACTATTTATATATTATTAAAATATATAATTAATTCAAGGGGAGTGTTTCTAATTTTAATGAAAGCCTCTTAACATATTTTATTATTTATTTTCCAATTCATTCCTTATAAGGTATACAAGCTCATTTACTCGGTCAGAAGATCATGTTTTTAATGTGCTTTTTTTCTAATTTACAAGCTGTCTCATTTGCGTCATATCTAATGGCATAAATATTATTCCTAACGCATGGTACAGCTTTGATTGACTAAAAAAATTCAAACCATGTGTCGACCATGAAGTTCTGGCTAGCCATGTAGTGGACAACATGTACTGGACAACCACTGACAGCATACAGCATACATTATCCTCCTTAAACTAGTTGCAACTGATTATCTTTTCGTGGGGGACCGCACTCCAGCCCTCAACTGGTTCATTAGAGGAAAAAGAAAGGAATGGAAAAAAAAAATCAGCGTACGCAGAAGGTCGAATGCTAAGTATACCTCCGAAGGATACCATGCTCATACTTAACAAGAGAAGTCGTGATAAATTTATTCATTCTAAATGCTTCTCTCAAACCAAGAAGAACGGAGGATTTGACGCTATCTCTACTCATTACGATGGTAATCATGTCATTCATATCATAATTTATCCATCCAAGTTGTTATTTTTGTATATTAGTACAGATTTTTATTATATAAAAAGATAAAAATGAAACTTTATTGTTAATACTTAGAGAGAGCGCTTTATTAATCTTGGAGAATGACCTGGAATAATCTATTGAAGTATTTAAATTTAGTATTCTAAATTTAATAAAATAACTGACAAAAGTTATACGGGACAGCCAAAAAGACCAACATACGTAAACTACAATCTTTTCACTAAAAAACTTTCAGAACTATAACTATATCTTCATGGTACGTCACAAAAATCACTTTGCATAAAGATCTCGAAGTGCTAATTGCTTACGACCACAAACGTACAAACTCCAAAAGATTTTTCAATAACTTACACGGACTAACTAAAATCCTCAAACAAGATATGGCGGCAATTAACATGCCCGATAATATCCAAGCGAGGCTCAACATAAGTTGGATAAGGGACCTCCTTACTTGGCTATAAGATCTCAATTCAAGATAGAAAGGGATACCGCTGGGCACTCCTTTCCCTCACTCGCATTAATATTTTGTTTTTTCTAATGATGTAGAAATGGTTGACCGTTGATATAGCATTTCCAAGTCAATTTCAACTTTTTCCAAGTCAAATTCAACCTTTTCCAAATCAAATTAAAC